GGAGCCCGGATGCGGGGCTCGATCCCTGGACCCCGGGATCATGACCTGAGCCGAAGGCAGACACTTAATGACTGAGCCACCCAGGCGCCCCTAATCTGCATCTTTTTAAAAAAACAATTTAATAGAATGTGGGCATCTTTCCCAACAGCTTATAGATATATGGGGAATTCAATTCCTTTCCGCGGTAATGGTCGGGATTGATGGTGAAGAGGAGAGAGGTCATGGGTGGAACTGCCGGACTCTCTACCACGTGTACCTCGCACGGCATGGAGAGTAGCCCGGGGTGACAGGTATACGCTACACATACAAAGGTTTGTACCACAGAAGAGGAACCCCCAAGTTATGGATCTTGGAGCATCTCCCTTGTGAGATCCTTTTAAAGTATAAATAGCCTGACAGTGGTCTCTTGGGACAGACGGAAGGTCAGATTCTTTCCCGAGTTCAGATGGACTGTGGAATGACCATCCAGAAGTGAAACAAGTCCCATTCTTAACCAGGTTTGATCCTGGATTGTCAAATGACTTGTGGCTCTGACAACAAGGACCTCCATCGAGGTAGAAGAAATGGATTCGTCAAACCCCATTCATCAGGAGGTTATGAGGCACCGAAGACACCGCCTGTGGACGAGCCTCCTCCAAGCTCTTGGTTATCAGCTGTTTTTAACTGAAGTTTGTGAGGAACATCGCCCATGGAGCCCCAGACCCAGGGCAAGGGCAGAGTCAAGTAACCTATCCCTCTACAGTGAGAATGGGAAAATGACAAAACCAACAACACATTTCTGGTATTTAAATTCTAGACCGAGATCCATTTTGCATTTCCACAGCTGCCCTAATCACAAACACAAGAGGATTACTCTCACTTTAAATATTAGCTAAGGCATCTCCTTGCATGTCTGAGGAAGAGAAGCCCAACTGCCCATACCCCAAAATATCTGGAGCCCTTCCCTTCCCCACCTGTCTGTTGTCCTGTTCTCTCCGGGTCAGCCACACCCAAGATTCCCCTTCTCTCAGGCCCAGGTCTTCAACTTTTCACAGGCAGGAACATAGCAGAGAGAAAAAAAAATTATTTTCAGAAGACAATGAGCTTATTTTCTTAAAAGAGCTTCCAACCCACCAGACTCCTTTAAAGGTGTATTCCATTTTTAGAGTAGAAATCTAATGTTTTTAAAAACAACCCTAACGTCAAAGCCACCTGTCACTCTTCAACCTAAATGGCCTCTAAGGGATGCAGAGCCAGGCCGATGGACCAGGTTGGTGGTGTTATTCCCTACGCTGGGCACCGAGGGCAGAGAAAGTAACGTGCTTTAGTTCCGTCGTCTATTAAGTAAGAACAGCCACGCTACTCCATCCCGATTCTTTTTTTTTTTTTTTGAAGATTTTATTTATTTGAGAGAGAGTGAGAGACAGCACAAGCAAGGGGAGCTGCAGAGGGAGAAGGAGAAGCAGACTCCCCACTGAGCAGGGAACCTGATGCGGGCCTCGATCCCAGGACCCCGGGATCATGACCTGAGCCGAAGGCAGGAGCTTAACCGACAGAGCCACCCAGGCACCCCTCCATCCTGATTCTTTATCACAAATTTATGTTAGGGAGATTAAAAAGATCCCTCTCAACCTCTGAAGACCCCTTGAGGACGAGGATATTTTTTCCTAAGATAATGTGCCAGCAAAGTGGCAGCAATAAGCAAATGTGTGTTTCCAGATCAGTGCCTGGAGAGGTGACTGGGTAGGGAGAAGAAGCCTCAGCGATGGTGGAGCTCAAACTTGGACTTTGAAGAGAGAGGGCCGTGGGCCACAGATGTGCCTGAGGCTAAAGAGAGCCAAAACAAAACCTCCTGATCCAGGGCTCCTGTCCCCCTGGCTAAAATCCACAGTTTTGTTCCCCAAGCTGAGGCTGGGTGTTTGGCTGCGGGAAGCTCAGGCTATGGGCAGCATAGCCTCTAGCTCAGCATTCTGGGCCTGAGGTCGGCACCGAGAGGACACAGCAGGTGCCTCCCTGAACACACCAAGATTCACTTATGAGAAGTACAACACATGAAGGCCATTACTCATAAGGCAAAAAGTGCTCATTCTCTTCTCTTCTGAGACAAACATATGGTAAATCACGTATGCACCCAAGCTTGGTGAACTGACTGAGCCAACGGCAGTGTCATTCAGAAACACTGTCCAAAAGCAATAGAACACAAGCCACCTAATGTCATTTTAAATTTTCTAACAGTTATATTAAAAAAGGAAAAGAGGTAAAATTAGCTTTAATATCTTATCTAGCCCAATAAACCCAAAATGTTGCCATTGTAATATGTCACATCAATATAAAATTTGAGATTGCTTCTAAATGATATTCCCTTTGGGATCCTCCTTTTCAGAGAACTTTTCTTCTGTTGTTACCACATAGTGTTAACTGCAGACCCCTCCAGCCAACAGGCCACATTCACAATAATGGCACCCATGTACTAGGCAGGTAGCAGGTGCTAGATCCCATAAAAGGCATTTGATAGAGACTTTGAACTTCCAAGGCAAGAGTTAAGGAGTCAGGGGCGCCTGGGTGGCTCAGTCAGTTAAGCTGCTGCCTTCGGCTCAGGTCATGATCCCGGGGTCCAGGGACTGAGCCCCACATCGGGCTCCTTGCTCAGTGGGGAGCCTGCTTCTCCCTCTCCCACTCCCCCTGCTTGTGTTCCCTCTCTCGCTGTGTCTCTGTCAAATAAATAAGTAAAATCTTAAAAAAGAAAAAAAAAAAAAAGAGTAAGGAGTCAGGTTATCCACACAGCACATAAAAGAACACAGATACCAAAAGGTCTTAAGGTTACATGGCTAGGGACTGCCAGGACAGAATGAAACTAGATATGATGTAACACCTGTTTCCTTTTCTATTCTCCCTCTTTCTGCCCCAACTGCTTTCTTGAAAGAGCCAGTATGTGAAACACCTATATTTACTAGATATGAGGAAAAGATTTGGCAAATATGAGTGTACAGTTACATCATTTAAGTAACAAATTAATCCGAGGCTTAATACCCAGTTCAGACTTTTCTATCCAGGATCATCTATGATACTTTATAAATCTGGATCAGTCTGAATAGGGAGTTTTGTACTCTGCTTTATTTTTTTCAGTAGGCCCCATGCCCAATGTGGGGCTTGAACTCACAACCCTGAGATCTACAGTCCCCTGCTCTACTGACTGAGCCAGCCAGGCGCCCCACATACTCTGCCTTATTGAACAAGCATATTACAACCATTTTCTTAAGTCATTACCTCCAAACTCATGGACTTTGACAACCACAGAAATCTTGATCAAGAATGCCAGCCTCCCTCTTCCATCGAATGATCATGTTCATTCAATAGCTCTAAAAAGACTGAGCAACTACACGCCACGCACTGTTGTGTGTTGTTAGGGATAAAGTGGCAAATAAGGTCTTTGCCCTCACACGGCCTATATTCTAGAGAGAAAGATGAACAATACATACATAGTGTCAGGTGTGGAAAAAAATAATAGGAAAAATGATGGGTGAAGGGCATGTAACGATTTTAGTCTACCCCCATTATTTATTAGGCTGAGCCACATGAAACTGCTGATATTCAAACATTTCTGACCTAGAAAATGGTCAGTTTCACACATTCCCACCTAACAGTTTCACTCCATTGGGAAACAATCAAGAATGCTTCTGATGGACTCTAAATTAGAAGAGATCCCTGACAGACAGAAAACACAGAGAACTGGACTAAATAAACTTTCCTCCCACAGAAGAGGTGAGAAGTTGCTTGGGTGGAGTAAACTCAGTGACAGCAGATGGAGAGGGCGGGATGGACAGAGGTGACGTCTGGGGACTTCAACAGGAGCCACCAAATGGCTTAAACTCTGTGCTACTTCTCCCCACCACTGATTCAAGGCACAGAGTGTGGCCACCTGCCTCTATCTGGAAACCCTGGGAGGTGGTTCCTTTCACCAGGAATTGTAGGGGGACAGGGGGCAGTGGAAAGGGATTCCCTAGGAGACCACCCACTTTCCCTTGTGATTTCTTCAACTATTTCTTTAGTTTTTTTTTTTTTGAAGATCTTATTTATTTGTTTATTTTAGAAAGAGAGAGTGGGGGAAAGGGCAGAGGGAGAGACAGAATCTCAAGCAGACTCCCTGCTGAGGGTGGAGTCTGATGCAGGGCTTGCTCTCACCATCCTGAGATCATGAACTGAGCTAAAATCAAGAGTCGGATGCTTAACCAATGAGACCCACCCAGGTGCCCCTCTTCAACTATTTCTAAATTCAGAAAAAGCCCAGGATCTTGGCCGTCTATTACTGATTTTTTTTTTTTTTTTTGGCAAAGGAACGTTATATATTACTTGTACAATTAAATAACAAAAAAGTCCCCAGCTCCTGAACCAACTGGTCAATCTTAACACCATGTAAAGACAACCAGACATTACATGCCTGCCAATATGATGCAAGAAGGGAGGGTTCCTGCCAAGAATGTGAACCTGGTTCTCAGCAGGCCTCCAGAGCTACCGACTGGTTTACAGCAAACACAGGGGACAGGGGAAGACACTGACACTTAAGGAGGCAGTCAGCAACATCCGGACTGGGGACACTACAGGACAACAAGAAAAAGGGAAAAAGGAGGTGGACGAAACACTATTAGCTCATACGTGTCATGCGTGGACCCCCTCTGGAATCTTCTTTGAAAAAACCAAAGTCCGCAAGGCACTAGGGAAAAAGGGAGCAGTGTCTGTCTAGAATGTTAAGGAAACCTGAAGCGACTCGCTTGTGTCTACGAGAGCTCTTATCTATTCACGTTACAGACCCCAGCGAACTGCGAGATGGCAGAGCTGGGAACTGGTCAGTGGACAGTGGATTCTTATTCTGGTTTGCACCTGTTTAAAAACTTCCCACAACGCAAAGTTTCGAGCAGATCTGTGGGCCTGCCCTCCACTCCTCTCCCAGGCCCCCACACAACCTCCATGTGAGCTGGGAATGATCTCACCCGAGCCTCAAGCATCTTAGAGGACCTGCTCACCTGTCGATGAACTGATCAATAATGACGATATCGCCGGGCTGAATCTCTTCCCTCAATGAGCCACAAGCTGTGGTCACGATGACGTGTGTACAGCCCTCCTCCTTCAGAGCCCAGATGTTCGCCTGGTAGTTGACTTTTGAAGGCATGATGGTATGCTGTCTCCCATGCCTGTGGGAAGGAGTGGATACAGTGGGGGGGGGGGGGTTGAGCAGGGTGCTCGGACGCTGTGAGAAGAGAAAACTTACATATAGCAGTGCCTTCCAGCCCTTTCCATCAGAGCACTTTTACAGGCAGCGGCCAGAGGATAAGTAGCCTACTGTAGATACAAACCACTGGGTCTTAAAGTGCAGGCCACCTTTACATGGTATGTATTTTTCTATCAGGAGCCAGTAAGGAAGATGTACTGTGTCTACCCTGTGGCGCATGGACACATCAGAATCTGAGGCAGATGATTTCACACGAGCCACAACACGGAAAACAAGAAGTGCCCGTGAAGAGAGATACAAAATAGAAGGAGAAACTCAAGTTTCCAGTTGACTCTCTCCACTCCTTTGTCTAATCGCCCAGATAAGTTAGTGAAACTTTCAAAATAATTAAGAGATCCCAGCTGTTATGACACTAGCAGGTTTTGTGCAAGAACCTGTCACCTCACGCATGACCACTGTTAGTGACTGGATTGTGCCCTCTCCCCATCGCCCCGGAGTTCATATTTTGAAGTCCTAATCCCCAGTACACCAGAATGCAACCATATTTGCAGAGAGGGTCTTTAATATGGTAATGGAGTTAAAACGAGGTCATTAGGATGGACCCTAATCCAATGTCCCTACAAGAGGAGGAAATCTGGACACAGATTTGCACACTGGGAAGAACGTGTGAAGACACAGGGGAAGATGGCCATCCACAAACCAAAAAAAAAAAAAAGAGGCCAGGAAGAGGTCCTTCCCCCACAAGCCCTCAGAAGGAACCAATCCTGCTGACACCTTGATCTTGGAATTCTAGCCTCCAGAGCTGTGAGCAAACAAATTTCTGTGTCCACCCAGTCTGTGCCAGTTCCAGCAAATTAACACAACCACCACCAACTTCCTACCACGCTTCAAATAAAATCCAAACACCTAACCACGGACCTCATGTCACTCGGGCACCAGGGTCCTAATGCAACCTCAGCTCTTATACCAAGTCAGCCTCACTGGCCTTCTCGCTGCCCACCTCTGCCCATTCCTGCTCAGGTCTCCAGCCAACTGAGCTCTCCACTCCAAAGTCACCTCCGCAGAGAAGTGCTTTCCACGACCACTGAGTCACAGTCACATCGCTATCCCCTTTTCTTTCTAACCTCTGTTGGTAGCTCAAACTACGGTTCCTTTCCCGTGTCTCTCTTTCCCACTGGAATCAGCCCCGAGGGGGTGAGGCCCTCGTGTGTGCTCCTTGCTGGGATGCAGAACACAACTAGGAGCACCAGCCAGTAAACAGCCGGTCGAGGCAACCCAATTTCTAAAATTACTTCGAAAAATTCACATGTTAGATGATAAGACTTATATAAGCGGTATTTCATAATGAGTTAAAATCATTCTGGGCTGCTTGAAAAACTACCAATATAATGGTATAATGGTCTACCACGGAAAGGCCAAGTGTCAAGTCCAGCGTCCTTTACGTGTGATAATGCAGAAACAGGCTTTCAAGGAAGTTGGTAAACACACAAAAATCTCACTTTCTACAATGACGATTAAGTTTGGGCTTTGGAGTGAAAGTGCCTGGGTTCAAATCCTAGCTTTGCCATTTCCTAGTGATGTGACCTCCTCATAGCCACTCAGCGCTCTCAGTCCAATTTTTTCCAGCGGGAAAATGGTTAATAATATTACCTGCGCCACAGGGTTGTTATTAAATATCCCTTGTATCATCCCGTGTTACTATTAGAAGAAAAACTTTAGTGTCTTTTCTGTTCACCAACAGAACTGTGCTTTGCACATAATTTCAGACAGGCATAGCAAATCAGGGTTTTTACCCTGAGTGCACAGATGACCTCTCAGAAGGTGGGGGTCCATGAATGCACAGACAGTATATGCATTTTCCTAAGGCTGGTCTCCAAAACACTAATAAAAATTTTCAAAAGAAATTCAAAAACCCAAAGTCATTAAGAAACACTTGCATTCGAGGGACAAACCATAGTCCAACACAATTCAGTTCAATGGGCAGGAGTATAATAAAAGCCTCACCGGAGGACCACACCACCAGCTGCTTTCTCTTAGAGCCTGGAAAAAAATGAATCAATCCTCCAGCAATGACACGGACCAACAAAGAGGGTTGCCTGAAATCGACCCCATGTGTCCATCTACAACTCAAACTTAGTTTTACTGGATTCAGCAAAGTCACTTCTGTTTCAAAAACGTAGTGTGGCAGACAGACTCTAGGCTGATCCCCCATTTTCATGCACGGTGTGATTCCCTCCTCCCTCCACTGTAGGTGGACCTGAGATTTGCTTCTGGCCAATGGGCTCCATCAAAGATGCCGGGGGTCACTCCCACAATCAGGTGCCACCTCACCAGCCCGCCCCAGAGAGCCCCTCCTGCTGGCCTCGAGGAAGCAAGCCACTATCATGGAAACTCTGCCCTCAGAGGGTACCACGTGACAGGGACTGTGGACAAGCCTACAGGAGCTGAAGGCCTCAGGCTTACAACTGTGAGGAACCGAATTCTGCCAACGCATGTGAGAACCTGGGGAGCCAGATGAGAACAAGTCCCTGAGTAAACCTTGTGTGATCTTGCGCGACCTTGTGTAACCCTGAACAGACGAGCCAGCTAAGCTGTGCCCACACTCCCAATGCTAAGAAACTGTGGGACACTGTGTTTGAAGCGGCTCAACCTGTGGTAATTTGTTCACAGCATGAGAAAACTAATACATGTGGTCTGACTAATTTCCAACTGTGTGGTAACAATGATTTGCCTCCTCTGTAACAGTAGGATGGTACCAGTCTTGTCAAGAGACAGGGTGTGGATACCAAAGGGAACCCACTCCCTGCTAACCTGTAACCATCACCACACGGGGTCGTGAATGAAGCCATTCATCTTATTAATTAGAAGAAAAACAATAAATAAGGGAAAGCACCTCTCCTCTCACAGTTAGAAGTGAAACCAGAAGCTTCAATTTTAGACTCACTCTATTGCCTACTGATTACTCTAACCGCTTTCCCAGCCTAAGGGGTGTGGGGTGAGCTCTCTGACCTCCAAACTCTCTATAATTTATCCTAAAACTGTAAGTGGTAAATAAAGGTGCCTGAGATGCCCTGGCTCTACCAACTAAAAACTCACGCCCACACCATTACTCTCTCCAGGATTTAAGTGTAAACCCTCCTGCAGTGGCAACGCTCAAAAAGCTTAAAATATCTTACCTTGCAAGGAGGACGCAATCGACATTCTTGATCTTCCCCAAAATTAAGGCATCAGAAGGCTGAATGTAATGAAAAATGGTCACAACGCAATGACTTGAAAACATTCAACATACAAACAATTCAAAAACTGCCATTTCAATTGTTCAACCACAAAAGGATTCATGGAAAACTTGGAAGATGCACTTGAAGAGGGTCCAGATTTGACCAACGTAATCCCTCAGTAAACATTGAGGCCTCCGCAGGACAGGGTTCATGGCAGCGGGAGGCCTGCCTCAGGAGCGTGGGCAGGTACCGCTTGGTAAGATCTATTTGTAGCAAGCACCCCAGGGGACTCTCATGTCACTCTGGTCAAATACAGATGTGTCAAGAATTTGGCAGGTCCAAGAGGTGTGCGAGTGAAATGCAATAAGGAGGCAAATGTCACAGAATTTAAGAACTCAGCCCCGGAACTGCTTGCCATGTTCATCAAGTCTAAGACGGCCACGGGAGGACCTGAGGTAAACGGAGGGGAAGATCCTCAGAGCCAGAGAGGGTTCAGAAAACATAAGGCCATGAGATGAGCCAAGCTGAGAGCAGCACTTAGAGAACAGGAGGTCAGTCTAAGGACTTGGCTGGACAGGAGGGTTGGGCAGGAACTGCCGGATGGATCCTCCAAGGAGGACCAGAAGAACCGTTGTGTTTGGAAGTAGCACTATGGGATTGGGAGAAGGTAGACATCTCATCCTAGCTGGATGACACAGGAGCTGGAAGAAGTAGCTCCCCCACCTTTTTTTTTTTAAGATTTTGTTTATTTCCAACAGAGAGAGACAGCGAGAGAGGGAACACAAGCAGGGGCAGGGGAAGAGGGGGAAGCAGGCTTCCTGCCGAGCAGGGAGCCCGATATGGGGCTCGATCCCAGGACCTCGGGATCATGACCTGAGCCGAAGGAAGACGCTTAATGACTGAGCCACCTGGGCGCCCCGGTAGCGCCCTTTTAACAGAAAAAGAGGAGTGTTTTATTTCTAGTTGTTATGCTTTGCTTTCTGGATCCTCAGGAAATCCCCCCCCAAACCTTGGGCCAGGGCTTACTAAGAAAAGGCCACTTTGCATTATATGTTCCTGTTTGCCACCTATCTGCATAAATAATGTGGAAGACCTCTAGGCCCCAAATTAGAAGCTAATTTGAAGTCAGTGGTGTGAAGATGTACCATTGCTATCTCTGAAATGAGTATCTGGCTTCTAGAGATAAAAGCTGAGAAGTTATGTGTGCATGTTCTCAATCCTGTGAGGCCCAAGGCATTCTTAGGGACACTGTCTCAGCTGGTAGAACCCAATGACAGGACTGCTGGGCCCTCTCAGCCCGGGGCAGACAGCCCTGTGCTGCCAAGACAAAAGCAATAAAAAAAATATATATATTTATACATATACACACACACATATACATATGTGCGTATATATATACGTATATATATGTATATATATATATATAAGAATTTATTTTTGAGAGAGAAAGAGAGAGAGCGCGCACACATGCGTGCACACACAAGCAGGGGGAACGGCAGGCAGAGGGAGAAGCGATGCGGGGCTCGATCCCAGGACCCTGGGATCATGACCTGAGCCGAAGGCAGATGCTTAATGACTGCGCCACCCAGGCGTTCCCCCCACCCGCCCAAAATATACACATATATACATACATATATATATATATTTTAACATAAAAACCAAACCAGCAAGAAGAAAGGAAAAAGCTGGTATGTCTCCACTAAATGGATGGATATTAACCTTGCCAAATGGAGTATCCACATATTTTTCAGTTCTTCCTTCTAAGATTTCTGGATCATCCAGGCCTGTTCCACCAATTATTCCAATCTAAAGGAGACAATAAAAAAACAACATATTTGGTCATTTTTCATTAGAAACAAAATCATTATTTCAAGCAAATTCATTTATTCATATACATACACTCTTCTCCATTTCTGCTAAGCCCTGGTTGCTTTCTTTTTTAAATTAGTTTCAGAGGTAGAATTTAGAGATTTATCAGTTGCATATAACACCCAGTGCTCATTACATCACATGCCCTCCTTAATGCCCATCCCCCAGTTACCCCATCCCCCCCACCTCCCCTCCAGCAACCCTCAGATTGTTTCCTAGAATTCAGAGTCTCTTATAGTTTGTCTCCCTCTCTAGTTTCATTTTATATTATTTTTTCCTTCCCTTCCCCTATGTTCATCTGTTTTGTTTCTTAAATTCCACATATGAGTGAAATCATATGGTATTTGTCTTTCTCTGACTGACTTATCTCGCTTAGCATCATACCCTCTAGGTCCATTCACGTTATTGTAAATGGCAAGATTTCATGGGTTTTTTTTTTTTTTTGATGGCGGAGTAATATTCCATTGTATATATATACCACATCTTTATCCATTCATCTGTCAGTGGACATCTGGGCTCTTTCTATAGTTTGGCTATTGTGGACATTGCTGCTATAAACATTGGGGTGCAGGTACCTCTTCGGATCACTATGTTTGTATCCTTTGGATAAATACTTAGTAGTGCAATTGCTGGGTTGTAGGGTAGTTCTATTTTTAACTTTTTGAGGAACTCCATACCGTTTTACAGAGTGGCTGCACCAGCCTGCATTCCCACCAACAGCGTAAGAGGGTTCCCCTTTCTCCGCATCCTCACCAACATCTGCTGTTTCCTAAGCTATTAATTTTAGCCATTCTGACTGGTGTGAGGTGGTATCTCATCAGGTTACGTATCTGATGAAATTTTGATTATTTCCCTGATGCCGAGCAATGTTGAGCACTTTTTCATGCGTCTCTTGGCTATTTGGATGTCTTCTTTGCAGAAATGTCTGTTCATGTCTTCTGCCTGTTTCTTGATTAGATTATTTGTTCTCTGGGTGTTGAGTTTGGTAAGATGTTTACAGATTTTGGGTACTAGCCCTTTATCTGATATGTCATCTGCAAATATCTTCTCCTATTCTGTCGGTTGTCTTTGGTTTTGTTGACCATTTCCTTCACTGTGCAAAAGCTTTTTATCTTGATGAAGTCCCAAGAGTTCATTTTTGCTTTTGTTTCCTTTGCCTCCAGTGACATGTCTAGCAAGAAGCTGCTGCAGCCGAGGTCAAAAAGGTTGCTGCCTGTGTTCTCCTCTAGGATTTTGATGGATTCCTGTCTCACATTTAGGTCTTTCATCCATTTTGAGTCTATTTTTGTGTGTGGTGTAAGGAAATGGTCCAGTTTCATTCTTCTGCATGTGGCTGTCCAATTTTCCCAACACCATTTGTTGAAGAGACTGTCTTTTTTCCATTGGACATTTTTTCTTGCTTTGTCGAAGATGAGTTGACCATAGAGTTGAGGGTCCATTTCTGGGCTCTCTATTCTATTCCATTCATCTATGTGTCTGTTTTTGTGCCAGTACCATGCTGTCTTGATGATTACAGCTTTGTAATAGAGCTTGAAGTCCGGAATTGTGATGCCGCCAGCTTTGCTTTTCTTTTTCAACATTCCTCTGGCTATTCGGGGTCTTTTCTGGTTCCAAACAAATTTTAGGATTATTTGTTCTAGCTCTGTGAAAAATGCTGACGGTATTTGATAGGTATTGCATTGACTGCAATGGTTTGGGTAGCCTAGACATTTTAACAATATTTGTTCTTCCATTCCATGAGCATGGAACGTTTTTCCATTTCTTTGTGTCTTCCTCAATTTCTTTCATAAGTGTTCTATGGTTTTCAGAATACAGATCCATTACCTCTTAGGTTTATTCCTAGGTATCTTATGGTTTTGGGTGCGATAGTAAATGGGATCGATTCCTTAATTTCTCTTTCTTCGGCCTCATTGTTAGTATGCAGAAATGGAACTGACTTCTGTGCACTGATTTTATATCCTGCCACTTGGCTGAATTCCTGTATGAGTTCTAGCAATTTTGGGGTGGAGTCTTTTGGGCTTTCTACACAGAGTATCATATTGTCTGCAAAGAGTGAGAGTTTGGCTTCTTCTTTGCCAGTTTGGATGCCCTTTCTTTCTTTTTGTTGTCTGACTGCTGAGACTAGGACTTCTAGTACTATGTTGAACAGCAGTGGTGATAGTGGGCATCCCTGCCGTGTTCCTGACCTTAGGGGAAAGCTCTCAGTTTTTCCCCATTGAGGATGATGTTCGCTGTGGGTTTTTCATAGATGGCTTTGGTGATATTGAGGCATGTTCCCTCTGTCCCTACACTGCAGGGAAGGGGGTCTCGCCGGTTCTGCTGCTTGCAGAGTGGTGGCCTGACTACGCTGCAGTTCCATTTATGGCGACCCTAAGCAGAGAGCCCACTCCTGGCCTCGCTCATCACAGCCGGCTTCCCTGCTCTGATGCCTGGGAGCTCTGCTGCACTCAGGAACCCCCGGTCTTCCTGTGAGCCCCGGGGATCCTGAGACCACACTGTCCCACCTAGGATTCCGCCCCGCTTCACCACCTGGGCACCGTTCAGGCAGGGATGTCCCCCCACCAGAATGGACTTCACAAAGTTCTGATTTTGCACTCCACTGTTATATCACTTGCCAGCAGCCGGCTCATGGAGGCCCCCTCACCCCATGGTTTATCTTCCCATATATCGTCTTGGATTCACTTCTCCACACCTCCTACCTTCCAGAAAGTGGTCGCTTTTCTATTTGCAGAGTTGCAGCTGTTCTTTTCCTCAATCTCCAGTTGAGTTCGCAGGTGTTCAGAATGATTTGATAGCTATCTAGCTGAACTCCTGGGACCAGACGACCTTGGGGTCCCCTACTCCTCCCAGCCCCAGTCGTTTTTAAAAACTGTACATTACTGAAAAGCAATCACCCATTCAATAAATATTTGAGGGCCTTCCATATTGCAGAAATAACCAGAGCAGGGGTTATGTTTTTTACTGTATGACATTTATTGCTGACTATGAGAATAATAAATTAGCACAGAAAGCTACTTTAGCTAGCTTAAGTTAGAAAAACCAAACCTAAAATATAGGCATGTGGTTGTAGACAATTCTTTCTAACCAATTTTATTTTTACTACATGGGTTATGGAATAAGGAATGTTCAAAAGACCTCTAGGACAGAAAATACTCTGTATACCCAGCTGGTAATGTTTCCTCCTCATTATACCATTTGGTAAAGAAACGAGAAAGATTTTCTTTTCTATGCCACTAAAATCACGGAGTTGTAACAGACCATGGATGGAAGAGTCTGGAAAAGCATGGAAAGTTAGTCCGATGTATATTTATAAAATCAAACTATGCTTCCTATATACGTAAATATAAATAGGTAATGCAGAGACAGCTCTAAATTTTTTTTAAGTTCAAGTATTGTATTGCATTTTCCAGAGATGAACTTATCAGCCCTTGTCTTTGGGGGCTAATTGGAGTTACAGGAACCTGGTCCTGCAACTCCAGAGTGAATCTAATTTGATGACTAAGAAACACAAACAAGAACAGTTACAAAGACAGCTAAATATTAACTGAACTGTTAACTAAAAATTAAATGACGGAAATCATTAAGGCTTCTCTGGGCTGATAATTCCTAAAGGAAAAATAATATTTAAATTATCCGTAATAGGTTAGAGAGAGGACTCTTTATTAGAAACGAAATGGAAAGTGACCTGAGCATTTTTTTTTCTCCACGAAACGCTTTAAGTCTACTGTCACTTGAGTAAAATTTCTACTCAGCTCCTTGAGAAAAAATTCCAGGTTAAGAAAGTCACTGAACACCTGAATAATTTTCAGATCCGTTTACACAAGTTGATTTTATATTATTATGAACGGACCATCTCTCCGGCCCTCAGTTTTCTGGAGACAAAAAAAACAAAGCAGGAGGGGCAATTTAGTGAGGTTTTACTGAAGAACTGCTGGTTACGTTAAACCAGTTTTTGAAGTTGGTGCCACCTTGTGGTACGTTGTTGAAACCACAGCAGGCTACCTTCGGGGCCCACCCCACCTCTTGCTCCTACCTTGCCACCACAGATCATCCTAAGACTAACCAATATTACAGTTTTTAAATCAACAGAAGTGTTCGTTTAAGTCAGTACGCCCAAATCATGCCCACCTAGTAGAAAAAAATTGTAAATCAGTTTTATACAATCTTAACCCTTCCTCCAGCTGGCTTCTCCATTTTATCCTTCATTTCATACATCTCTGAGGCACCCCAAACCGTGGGGCGGGGGCTGGGGGAGGGGCTAATAAACTGCCCAGCCTGTGTCATCACTCTAGGTCACAAAACCGAACTGCCAACTAATCTTGGGGGATTCGGTTGCTCTTTAAAAAAAGGGAGGGCAGAAGTTTTCAAGGCTTATCACCACTGTGACTTGGCTGTTTCTGGATGTCCCCTGGGCCATCGCATCTCATATTCTGGATTCAGCACTAGACTCTCAGACTTGCACATACACAACAAAACTGTCTTTGTTGTGAAACTACCTCTTGGTTTGGGGCAAGCGAGCCCAGCATCGCAGCAGTGATTAAGAAATGCCAACCAGGGGTCCTACCGAAGTTCATTGCCCTTGAGCCCACGGTCAGCAGCCTCAAGCTTCAGTCCACAGCACCCCGGCTGCATGACTGCATTAGGTAGCTGGTAACTCAGCCCTCCGAAAGGAACATGTACTGGGCATGAGAGCAAGAGCTTCTACTGCTCCCCAGAAAGGCTGGGCTGGGGTCTCTGGCACCAGAATTATCAGTAGGCGAGCATGTCCACTCACCCAATCGGCTCCTACAGATATGACTATAGAAAGTCATATCTTGCAAGGTGTCCAGGACGAGTGTAGCAACTGCATACTGCCACATTGGGAAATGGACCTCTAACCATTTTCCAGCATCAGTGCCAGGATGGAGCAATGTCGCCACCTGCTGGCTCCGCAGCAA